AAGAGAAGAGATCAGAATATGTGATCAAGTTTAAACCGCTTTCTCCACTTGCCCAAGTTCGCTTGGGAATCTGGTGTGCTGCAGCAAATCAAGGCTTGGTAGCCATCACCCTGCTTCCATTCTCCAATCTCCTCCAGACTGAGCAATGGTATGATCATGACGCACTGACTGCACTCACCATCCCACAGGAGGTCGTAAAAAGAATTGTGCGGATTCGCAAAGGCAAACAGATTCAACTTGAATTTGCATAGCCATCTCGCCATTTCGGTGCGAACAAACTTCTTTTTCTGCTCGTCAAATCCAGACAGGTCCATTCCGCCTGCAACCTCGCACACGAACCCCCAGAACACATGGCATGCGGAACTAGATGGCACTTGGTGCACTCGGGTTTTGGTGTGCTTCCCTTTTTCTCCGAACATATTGACGACGTTCTGTGCAGCGCGCCGCTCATCTTTATTGAGCTGTTCCGTGTTGCGTCCCTGGGGTCCTTGACCGCTGAGTGAGCTGGTGAGATTTATCCAGATTTCTTCGACAGTCTTCATAAAATTCTCCACAAAGATGATCTCCTTCTTTGGTAGTCTTCGTGCCCTTGTCCGCAGGCTTCACAACAAAACGCTCGCGCAGTTTGCGGGGAATATGCATCGGGGGTTTGCTTTCCCTACGTACGATACGTGGCAAGTTCCTCAGAGGCACGCCTCGATTTCTTGGAAAACGACCCAGAGCACTATTCTCGCGACCACTGTGCGTTCCATGCGATTCTACTTGTCCTCCGTCTATGTGATGTTTCATTTACAGCATCCGTCTGTACTCGCCTATAAATCGCTCATGCTGTTATTCCCTACACAATCTTCCTAGTCATTACAATTGTTGCTCACCCCCCTCTAGCCATCCGGAGGTCCCCAATCTTGGTCTAACTTTCTCTTTGTCTCACTGAAGGAGGCTGTTCAGACTTGAGTTGCTTGTCGATCACACGTCATCGATTCTTTCCATCATTTGTGTTGATATAGATTAGTACTGAGTGTCGACTCATCTATGCTCACCTTTCACCCCACACCATTTGCCCGGGCACCAGAAGTACACAGGTAATCACAGGCTCACTGCCGTCCATAATGTTTGTTTAACAAGCGTTCCCATCCATATCGAGTGATTTTGGACACTCCGCTGCCACTAATATCATTGACCACACATACAGAAGCTAACCAGTGTGGTTGGCTTCTCAAATTATCATCGGACTTCGAGTCACCGCTATGGGCACTCATTCCTATAGACAGAGTCACTCTGAACAGTTCCTCAGATAAGACCAGAGCGATCACATCAAAACCAGAGTAGCTACGACCAAGACAGTAACGTCATTGTTCCTTTTCGTCATCACTCAGTTATATGCGGTCAGGTCAGGAGAGGACTTACTGCTCAGGATAGGTAAGAATTTGTACTTGGACTCTCACTGCTCATCGGCAGAGGTTTTCGACATTCAGAAGGTACTGCGGCGGCCAGTACCACTTTGGTCAATCAATTACCAGGCGTGACAGAGCCACTTCACCGACACGCTATTGCGTGGTTTTCATAATGGCTATAGCACCGCTCCATAATTAGTAATCTTGCCATAGGTCGCCGCTAACGTACTTTTAACTCTAAGACAGATAGGCACTAATAACTGGAGTTTCCCATTTATCTCACCGTCGTGTTGTTTAGAGACATGTGTCAGCTACACCTGGCACCATTCTGATGACGGCAGAGGTCATAGAGCTCCGATGTTCAACGAGGTGAATCTTTCTCAGCCAAATGAGAATTTATCCATCCAGTTACATCATAGGCACACCCAGGTCGGCTATACAACGTCAGGAATGGATACTAGGAGTGTGGCACGTAGAATCACCAACGCAACCTCACTCTATAACTAGGCGATCTGTTACCAACATAAACCAGAGGAGTACACTAAATCAATCCGCCTCAGCCCTTTCAACAACATAAAAGACAGACGTACGACCTGGGACATCAGAAGGTTCAGCCGTGACGTAGGCGCGTAGGATCAATAACAAACAGTCACGACTACTGTTACTTCTACACTCTGAGACCATATAAATCGGGTTCATTGCTACTACAACAAGCAATCCATCCGCACTATACAGTCATGACCCCTGTAGGTTGCCGTACGCTCACCAGACTTTCGCGCACATACGATTTATTCCCATCCAATCTCCCCGAGGACGGAGCTAGGAGAGATCTAGCGAGTTAATCTCATTCATTTATGTTACTCCTGATCACCCGAAGCTTGATGGTCTCCTTCTGTTTACCGACCTACTTGGGTCAGGGGCGAATGCAATACAACGGTCTCTTAGCCTTATTCGCGGACTCGATCCTAGATAGGGTTTTGAGTTTCGACTCATGACTTTAGTCCTTCGTGAATAGTCTGATTGAACAGGGTTCTCAATGACCGCTCTAGTCATTACTAGGTTGATGATGAACATCGCTCTAATATTTAGCAACTGTGGAGTACTTCCACGCTAGTAATCGCTAACAATCTTCCACGCGTTCCGTTTTTGGATCGTGGAGTGAGTAGGATTGCTACCGGCAACCTACTCTATCACACTTTACAGTCTCCCGCGGGAGTTCACGATCTACGATCCTTGATGTGGATCTCTCTCGTTGATTATTTTCATAGCTTTCTAATCCTCTCATAAACTTTGTTTCATTCTCTCAAACTCAAAACACTCGAAAGATCTTTACACTAGCTTTTAGCGTAGTGCAGTGGCATAGAGGGCCTCAGCCAGTCTTCTCCTGATGGTGGAATCCGACATTGTTGTTGCTTTCGTTGTGCTACTGGTGGAACGCTGGATTCAAGCTCTTTGTAGCAGTAAATAAAGGTTGACTGCCTGTAGATTGAAATCCACAAAGATGACTTCTTGGGGCCTTGGTAGGGGCCTGGGAAATTCAATCAATATGTACTTGAATAAGGTAGACAGTGTACAAGCTCTGGAACAAGCTTCCTGTGTCGCCTTGGTGCTGGGAACTGGCTTGGATTGTTGGAATTGCCACTGCAGTAGCCAGTCAACTTGGAGCTAATGAATCTTCTCAGTGATGCTTCCAAAATTGAAAGTGATATACCCACAGACCAAACAAAGGATGCCGGATTCAGTTGTGGTACTCTCAGACTTTCGAATTGGTCACTTGGTAGCCTCGAGCGCTCTCGAGTTACTCAAATCGTTGGCTCCGTACCAGAGATCGCGATCTCGAGCGATTTCGCGAATTTCAATGACTCGACGACGTAAAACCTTTAAAATGTGAGTGCAAAGCGATTACCGTGGATGGGCTTGCTTTCAGAATGGAGAACTCGTGGCTTAAACGGGAAACTGGTACAGGAAGCGCACGGATCGGTACGGAAGCAATCGGTCGTGCTAAACTGACTCAGTGCACGTCAAATAAGTACCGGAAACTGCACGGACGATTTGATTGGCTGAGGACGTTCCGTGAAATTGACGAAAACTGCACGGACGTTTCGATTGACTTTCAGTGGAACCCCTCGAGATATAAGCCACGCAAATAGCAATAAATCCAAACGTTCCGTGGAATCGCTGAAGTGACTCGAAAGCGATATGCCCACTAGAAGAGAGATAAGCGCCTCGATCGCCGTAATAAATAGTGGTTCCTCACGAATTCCTCGAGACGTAAAAGGCTTGATCGATTTTCAAGACCTGGAGCGGACCAATAAGTCTTGAATGCGATGTAATAAGGCTTGTGTTCACCGCGACTCCGAATAGTCCGTTGAGCGACCTTCTTTCTTTTTCGTGTTGTCGAGTTGGTGCTTTTTCCTCAAGGCAATGGCGTCGTGTTGATGGTGCCTTTGTCTAGGTCCTTTTGATGGCAATGATGATGTTGTTGGCTTTGTAGGATTGGTAGATAGTCAACTGAAAGGTGCTTGACGCTCCGGTAAAGGCTAGAGCTGTCAGAATTGACCAAAAGGTTGTTGACTTGTGACTTCAAGTGTATAGGCTTTGAAATCAATCCGGAATGCCAATGAAAACACACTCAAAAGGTGGTGTAGACCAACTGTAGACTGTAGCTGTAACTGTTGATTGTAATAGACTGTCGAAGAGGCTCCTTTACTCAGCCAGGAGATCTCTTCTTCCCTTAATAAACTGCCTGCAGTATGCAAACTAGTTAATCCGATGAGATTTCGGGAGGTCTTTCCTCTGGGAACAACCTCTCTATATCTCTTCCTCAGATCTCAGCTGGTAGTTAGGCAGTAAGGGAGCCTCAACTGGCCTTCTTCAGCAGGAAGATGGCTGTCAATCAAGGACTTGGCCAGCGCCAGGTTGGGAGATCTCCGGTTGGTGAGATTCTCCCTTCACCGGGCTGTCAAGGCCAGCTCCTCAGAGCTGGCTGCCAATGCTATTCAACCACTGCAGTCGGAATGGTTGAATCGCGGCTATTTACCCTAGCATGGACCACACAGGATTCTCTCTACTGCAAGGCTATGGTATGCTATCTGGGTCTTCAGGCACTCTTTACTATTTCATTATTCTCAACTATAGACGAAGATGGGTGGATACCCATCTTTCCAGGCAATAAGCCAGCAAGCTGCCTTAGCGCTGCTACTACGAATCTAGAGCTCTTGCCCTGTAATTCATAGCCGACCCTTGGACTGAATAACACACAATTTAAGATGAGCGACACCAGCACTAGCATTTACTTCTTCTTTTCAACCAATGTCAACCTTCGTACGTTTCTGACCATGGCGGATTTTCTGACCAATAAATCGGTCCGCCGGGGCTACGTGGTGCTGAGACGCAAGGAAAGCGAGGTAACGATGGCCCTTGAAGTCTGTGACAATGAGATAGACCCGACTGTCTTCCTAGAGGGTAACAAGTATCTTAATTCCAATAGTAACGACGTCTGTCATAGTATGGTCTTCGCTGATAAGGGCCTCCGCCCCCATAATACCCCCTATGTCCGAAAGGCCTTCCGTGTGAAGTAGGGTAGTACTCTGAGTATGGAGGATCCTATGGAGGAGGACGGCCACTCCATTCTTTCTGGTTCCGTGGTCTATAATAGCTCCAGTCCACATCGTCATTGTCTGGCGGTTCCGACGTTACATTTTCTTGTGGTTTCGACTTCTTCTGAACAGGTTCCGGCTCTTCTTCCTCTTTGCTGTCATTGTCATTGTCTTCCTCATCTGCAACCTTCTCCTTATCTTCTCCCTCTTTCTTCTTCTCCAACCGCACAAACGTTGCCTCCTCTTCGGATTTTCTTTTGGTAACCTTGGGAACGACATCTTCCACACCACGCATTGCGCTTTCTGACATTTTCTCCATCTTGTGTAACGAGTCCATTGAGAACAACCAATCTTTATTTAATAAGCTTTACAGTTATTCTACAACAATGGGACTATTCTCTGATCCTTCCGGAAATTGTGAGCACAACATACACAAGCTCGCCTGGCATGCTACATGTATCAATATCAATAGTTTGCAACGCGGAGTATGCTTGTGTATGCACGGTGCAAGCGGGGCCGGCCGAAAATCGGGCTACACATTTCGCTGATCTGGCAGCGACCAACATTGTTGAAGGACTCACATAAGACTGGCAAAATAGAATCCTGGACAACGTCCGTCCTTCGTCCGATCAGTCGTGTTTCGTGACTAAAACGCACTTAACGGATTCGAAATCGCCAAAACTCAAAGATTTAAATGGTGTGCCTAGTGTTAAGTATTTCTGGAATGAAAGCGAGAAAAATCGAGACCGAAAATAAATGAATTCCTACTTACCCCTCAGTAGTTATTTTACAGGTGCGATTTATTTGGATCTTCTGTACGTTAAACCGAGACCCCGGAGGAGGACAGACGCTTGGGGGGAAGGTTTCTATTTTACCAGCCTTATTACATACATGTGGAGCTGTTTTTCCGAACGAACGTGTTGATGATGTTGCGAACACCAGTTCAGTGGATGCCATCCGGGAAGTCCCCCGATTGGCGAGTGGAAGTCGCGAAAAGTCGTTAAAGTCGCGAAAGTCGTTAAAGTCGCGATAACAGTCGTTCTAAGTCGCGCAAAGTCGTGCAAGTCGCCCAAGCCGCGATTCAAGTCGTTCCAAGTCGCAATTTTATACTAGTAAAAAGCTTATATTGTCGCACTAAGTCGCGCTAGTCGCGGTAAGTCGCGCTGCAAGTCGCGCTAGTCGCGGTAAGTCGCGATTGAAAATCGCGACTTAGAAACCGCGACTAGCGCGACTAAGGGTCGAAGTCGCGAAAGTGACGTCACCGGGGGACTTCCGGGCCCAGCAGAGACTTACTGTGTAAATTACAGTACTTTACAGTACATTCCTACCAGGCTCTACAGGCTATCCTGGACCGTCCGACGTTTTCACTCAGGATTTAAAAAATATTGAAATTTCGCATGACTGGAAATGGCTTGAAACAATCCCTTAACTATCCCCTAAATCTTCAACAATCCTTAAACAATCCCTTAAAACAATCCTTAAAAAACAATCCCTTAAACCTTCGAAACAATCACTTAAGCCTATCGCCATATGGCATGACACAATCCCCTATCAGGAGCAAACAATCCCTTATCAAACAATCCCTTAACAAGCAATCCCTTAAATCTGCAACAATCCCTTAAACAATCCCTTAACAAACAATCCCTTAAACAATCCCTTACACCTTCGGAGTCAGTCCGGGCAATTTTAAATCCTGAGTGAAAAACGTCCAACGGTCCAGTGGAATTCAACACCAACCGTGCTACCAGCCAGAAGACCGGTTATGGAACCAAATTACTCTCACTTTTAAGATAAGCACTATAAATTAAGTCTTCTTCATCTTCCCCTCTAAATCTTTGACTTGAGTCCCTCCACATTTCGCAGCTCTCAAATTTTCTCAGTGTTACAGCACAGCATTCTCTGCGTGTTACAGCACCGTACCGGTATGCAAGCAACGGAAGTCATACCGGTACTGTGCCTCACCAACCAGAGAACAACATGATGTACACATACCAACCATCATGATGTACTCATAATGGAAGGTAAATCACTACTTCTACTATTAATCTGCCTTTTAGTGGGCACATAATGCTACTGGATAATTTTGTATCGAATGGGGCTTGATAGTAGAGGCGTCGATCTAAAATGGAACTCCAAATCTCTCCTAGCGCTGACAGGATACTATTGCCGAAGCTGTTGCAGCTATCGGTACTGATGATCGATGGATTGCTGTATTAGTAGCAGCGAATGCTATAGTAGTAGCGACTGTTTGTTATTGTCACCGTACGTCACGGCGGCCTTCGTTCCATCTATTGTCTTGTTGTTGTTGAAGGCAGGGGATGAATCCTCTTAGTGCATCGCAGAAAGTGCTTTATTCTACGTGCCACACTTCCTAGTATCCATTGGTATTGACGCTGTGGGATGTAGAGTTGTCTTTGGCTTGAGAAATCCCTTCCACAACGCCCTCTGATGGAGGAAAGTCCAAAAAAGAGGAGAAAATGGGAACCTCCAGTTTATTAGCCACTGAGTAACTACACAGCCATCAAATGGACTTCTAGATAAAACCAATGCGACGGGCATGTTAATATTGACAAAGTGGTTATGGGGAGTACCTTCTGAATGTCACCATGAGAGTGACAAAGTACATCTACTTTACCCGGAGGGAAGGTGATGAGAAAAAATGATGGTTGGTGCTTTTTTTTTTGATGTGATGTTGTTTCAGGATGCAGTGACGTTTTTCATGCCAACTGCCAAGCCAAAAAAGAACTGTTCCGTGGTATTCCAGGGACCACCCAGGATGGAACCTGTCTTGAGCAATGGAACCGGTCTTCTGGCTGGTAGCGTGATGTGACACCGTATCATCAACAAAATGGGGAATGGTGAATCGAAACAACTCAAGTTGAACCCAGTGAAGAGGGACGATGCGAATGATGGAGTGTTGTTCGCATACATTTCAGACGCCTGGCAGTCCGAATTCGTGTCTTTCGACGGCGCCTTTGAGGAACTTGCCAAGTATCGTAGAGGGAAAGCACCCGATGATATTCGGAAACTGGCGGAGGTTTGTTGTGAAGCCTGGGACAGGCACGAAGATACCAAAGAAGCAGATATCTTTGTGGAGAATTTTATGAAGACTGTCGAAGAAATCTGGATAAATCTCACCAGCTCACTCAGCGGTCAAGGACCCCAGGGACGCAACACGGAACAGCTCAATAAAGATGAGCGGCGCGCTGCACAGAACGTCGTCAATATGTTCGGAGAAAAAGGGAAGCACACCAAAACCCGAGTGCACCAAGTGCCATCTAGTTCCGCATGCCATGTGTTCTGGGGGTTCGTGTGCGAGGTTGCAGGCGGAATGGACCTGTCTGGATTTGACGAGCAGAAAAAGAAGTTTGTTCGCACCGAAATGGCGAGATGGCTATGCAAATTCAAGTTGAATCTGTTTGCCTTTGCGAATCCGCACAATTCTTTTTACGACCTCCTGTGGGATGGTGAGTGCAGTCAGTGCGTCATGATCATACCATTGCTCAGTCTGGAGGAGATTGGAGAATGGAAGCAGGGTGATGGCTACCAAGCCTTGATTTGCTGCAGCACACCAGATTCCCAAGCGAACTTGGGCAAGTGGAGAAAGCGGTTTAAACTTGATCACATATTCTGGGAACGTAATGGTGATATCGAACAGGCCACTACTGTCTTGAATGCCCACGTCAAAGCGCTGGCAGATTCGTTGATCAAAGACTGGGACAGCTACTTTGACAAAGTGGATAGTGATCATCCTGAATTTCCAGACAAGAAGCAAAAAATGAAGTCCGCCAAAGAATTGCTAGTGGGACAAAGCTTTACGGTCGAAGTGTCAAAGCTTAAACCTGCCAGGAATGGGATTGGGCTTTGGCAGCGCAAGAAATTCTTCAAGATTGACATGGGCAAACTCTACAGTGGAGACGACACGAAGAAGCTGATTCCCGACCCAAGCTTACTTAGTTTCAAGGCAGCTGTGAACTGGTCCGGTCGCACCGAAGAAACCAAGAAATTGCTCACCTGTTGCTCGCCTCCGGACGACGAGTCTGCCCAGACATATTTGTCGGGGATCCCATCGAAATACTCAATTGGAGAGGCAGTGCTAGGACACAAAATCAGCCAGTATGGTGTCGAACACATCATCAATGAACGAAACAAATTTTTTGATGCAGAATTGCTGGATAAAGAGTTCCACCTCACTGGAGGGAGCGGAGACGAAAATTCGTCAGTTCTTTCCGACGTTTCTTGGGGTGGTCCTGAAATCACGGAAGACAGCTTTGGCGGCATACCAGTAGTGTCTGAGGACTCGTCAAACAAATAGAGACGAGAGGGGATCGTAGGGCATGGGAATTGAGCTGCCGCGGGGCGGTGACCTGCCGATGCCAGTTTGCCCTGCGAAGAAGGGGTAATAAATACACTACAATGACAATGAGAAAATGTCGTCACCCAAAGTCTAATTGGAAGTATTGTATTCATTCTAGACAGTATCACTATATTTTATTTTTGTGAGTTCGAATACTTGTCGTGTTATCTTTGTTTCATTACACATAAAAGCGCCATTGTCAAATGAAGAAGATTTGAAATGGGATGGAAAGGCGCTTAAACCTCCCGGGGACGACATGGTCGGATGGGGGGCGATGGAGGTTGCAGGGAATGGTTTTCCCGTTATCCTGTTTTACTAGTAGCTCATTTTGGTGCCGTTTCAGGGAAAAACCAGTCATGGATGGAAACGTCACTCTGCATCGAAATCGACAATGTCGATACTACGGCTACTAAAACAATTGTCCCCGTGTCACAGAAAATGCCAAGTTTGGCGCGCAGCGCCAAGTTTTGCACGAGCTCCAGGAAGAGGAGGAGGAAGAAGAAGAGGAGGAGGAGAAGAGGAAGAGGTACAAGCAATATCCCATGAAGCAGCAGCACGAAACGAAGCAGTCTGGTAGCGTGAAGCAAATGGTTCTTCTTTTATAAATAAGCTCTTGGACCTTTGTTGATTGTTTGTTGGTTGCTAAAGTTGTTGTGCTGTGTTGTACTACTAGCTAGCTAGCGGGACGTACCGGTGGCTGGAGCTCACCCTGGATCTGCAAAATGTGCCAAACTAAGCCACTCCTTTTGCAGTACCGTTCTACAGGGCAACTCTGCGTTTCTGATCAGGATGGAAAATGCATAGCCATAAGTCTCTTGATCAACTTTGGCACCACCCGCCACCCAAAGCAAAGATCCAAGCCAAAAGAGGAGACGGATCGAGACAATTGAGTATTGGGTGTCTCCGGTGCAAGTGAAAGCTTGAAAACCGATCACCACAATGTGGAGAGACGAGTGAAGACGAGTGGGGAGAGTCGATTCGATTCGTGGAGACGACCGCGACAGCCTCACTCAAACCGATCGCTTATGAGGTCTACTCGAGTACATGTAATATCTCAGGCTGTCGATCGAGGTAAGCCTAATATCAAGTCTTCATGTCTTCGTTTATTATTGAAGGCGCAGCCCTGACTTCTCTCCCTCATTGAATTCGTATGGTAAACAGGAGAGAAATCCAAGCTTAGCCAGCAACGATTGTTGGTGAATCGATCAATCGAACAACAACCAGTACCAGGTACGGTTAAGCCTAGTACTTAGTAGTAAGAGTGTTATTGTAGGTGCAAATTATATCAAGAGTGTTATTGAAGGTGCAGATTTGGAAACCACCCCTCATTTACTTCTATGGACTGCTCGAAGGCAGCCAGATCTCGGCCGTCAACAGGTGAGTTGGCTCTATTCGCATGAATTGAATCGTCGCACCTCTGTTATCAAACATTGCTCAAGCCAACCGTTATTTGAATGATCGTCGCACCTCTGCTACCGGTACAGGTTCAAGCTTCAGTCAATCAGACCCTCTCCAGTGCAGAACAGAAAGCCATCCGGCATTGAATTCTATGACAATGGGATGGCAGTCAGTTCTCGGCCCATAGCAGTCCAGTTGGAAAACAAGGGTAAGTCACCGCAGTATCAGAATAGAAGAGAAAACCATATCTATTTCGTACTTTCTGTTCTCTTACTGCTGACGGCCGAGGAAATACCTTTTCCGAGTCGGTCACTCTGGATAAGGAGGAGAGGCTGCTGCTGTCAATGGATCGCTATCGGAGGACAAGAGGAGCCCTACGACATATCTACAGCCTGGTCAGATCAATCGCCGTCGAGTCAGTGAATGGCAACACTCGTTAATAGGAGGAGCAGGAGGCTACACGACAACTCGCGACTCGCATCTCGCACGCACACGGGAGAGTGGATCCTCCTATTGGACTCATCCCTCCTGCATGGCACAAGTTTTCGAGGACTTGGCGACTTTGGCTTTAGCCAAAGAGTTGGTGGTTTCACTAGGAGCACGTAATAGATCACTACTAGAAGCTAGAGTATTAAAGTAGAAAAGCATTTGCATTGGTAACCAATAGACCACCAGTCTAGCCAGTAGCAACGATACAATGAGACCTTGACACTGGCGGGGTGTAAAATACTCGTTAGTTTAACAAACTATGGCCACGGAGTGGCTTTAGTGACGCGGGCAATGGGTGGGGAAGCCCCCACCTAGCTGAGTCGTCATCCACATAAATTCTGCGCAGTGATGGTATTCCCTCAAGTACTGCCCTGGATCAGCCCCCAAGTCAGACCAATGGGCGCTTAGGACACCTTCGCTTTAACGATGATGGCTCCCAGATTGCGAAATCATCTTGACTGGCTCCAGGACATTCAGGTTAGCGACGAGCACCTACAAAGATTCCTTTGGCACTGCAGCTTTCGTTCCTTGAAGGATGCCGACCACAAGGGAGGATTCAACGGCTTCAGTTCTTCTGCACCAGGTCTCCCCGGTGACCATTCTTCCATCGAAGTGAACTTGCAGGTATTATTGGGCACTCATCGTGATGCGCACCATCTGTATTCTCCATGAAATACACTATGGGATGCATCAAATTGGTTTGTAGATGGCGCAGCAGCCCTCAACTGCCCTTGAAAACCATCTTCAACCCCGCAGTGCATAGCAAAGACTTTGTACCTCCGTGTTGAGGGCCGCTTTATCGATGAGATAAGGGAACTGGTATCGACGTTCAGTTTCAGATGGGTTAAAGGCCACCAGGACGAAGCCCTGAGCCTCCACATCCCCCCCCAGGCACATGTTACATGGAACCCAACTGTACCACAGCTGCCTCGACCGCTGGGCAATCTGAACATTGAAATGGATACTGCTGCCAAACCCAGTGGACTAAATCAACTCGACATCCCATGCCCTAATTTACCTTTCACCACGCGCAGCGTCATCTTTCCGGCACAAAGGGTAAGAAACTAGCCCTTGTATTCACCCCCGTGAGATGCACGAGGCCCTTTGGAATAGACAAAATCAAGGCACACTGTAAGCAGCGCGAGGAAGATTTCTTAACGTCGTCTATCCGAAGCGGATTGGACAGAGAGCTGGGACACTATTAACTGGGAGGCAATGGTAGGGCCATGAGGAAGCACCAATTGGCATCCAAAGAATCATCACCAAACATGCAACAGGCACTGTGGTGTAGGACGCCACTGCAACGCCGCCAATGGCCGGCTCACAGCGATTGCCCACGGTGTTGAAAGCCGACGAAGACAACCTCCATGTACTACGCTGCCAAGACCCAGACATCATCCAAAAGTGGAACCAGGAGATTTCCAAGCTGAAACTTGGTTGCACAAACGCCACACAGACCCATGATGACAAACAGATCCTGACCCAAATCCATCACTGGCAAAAGGGACACAACACCTCTCTCTGATGGGATCTGGAACTCCTACACTGTTAACGGACTCCGTGCACAGGCCAACTGTGGATGGTGGAATTTTTACTTGGCAGAATCGCAAACCCACTTTGCACTGCCCACGAGCTCCACTTACACTCATTGGAAAACAAGGTGATGGCTCCCAGCTGGGCAACTTCCTTGGCAAATGAACTGTAGAGCTTCACTTCCGCATATGTGGAGCACAGGAACGATCACTACACGGTGCAAAACAACCACCCACCCAACTCTCCCCCCTCTCCACCCTCCGACAAGGAATCCTGAAAGAGTACTACAAAGGTGATGCCACATTACCTCCCAACGACCGCTGGCGCCTCGAACTTGACTACAGAGGAATCAACCTCAACTTGTCACCCCAAAACCCTTCGCTGGCTCGAAACCATCAAACTGGCTAGGCTGCCCATGGACGACTTGCACAACATAACAACCCGCACAACACAACAACTTACGATCAATGCACACATACCTCCAAACTGGCCGAGCCACTACAAATGAGTAACTGCTTTCAAATCCTGGGTATTGCCTCCCGCTCCAGGTGCTGCCCTTGCCATCTTCTCCTGCATCGACAGCATTGTCCACTAATGGGGGCCCATCCGGGCCCCTTGAGAATGACTGACACTA